TCCTTTCAATATTTTATTTAAATTCAAGTTAGTTCACACATGGTGTAGTGTTAGATTCAGGAGTAGAATTTAGCGATTCATCAGTTGCATATAACACCCAGTGGTAATTACATCATGTGCCCTCCTAATGCCCATCACCCAGTTACCCCATTCCCCCACCCACCTCTCCTCCAGCAATCCTTAGTTTGTTCCCTATCTTTAAGAATCTCTTATGGTTTGCCTCCCTCTCTTTCTTTATGTTATTTTATTTTTCCTTCTGTTCTCCTATGTTCATCTGTTTTGTTTCTTAAATTCCACATACGAATGAAATCATATAGTATTTGTGTTTCTCTGACTTCACTTAGCATAATACACTGTAGTTCCATTCATGTTGTTGCAAATGGCAAGATTTCATTATTTTTGGTGGCTGAGTAATATTCCATTGAATATATACACCACATCTTTTCCAGAGTGGCTGCACCAGCTTGCATTCCTACCTATAGTGTAAGAGGATTCCCCTTTCTCCATATCCTCACCAACATCTGTTGTTTTCTGAGTTGTTAATTTTCGCCATTCTGACTGGTGTGAGGTCGTATCTCATTGAGGTTTTGATTTGTATTTCCCTGATGCCGAGCGATGTTGAACATTTTTTCATGTGTCAGCCATTTGTATGTCTTCTTAGGAGAAATGTCTGTTCTTGTCTTCTGCTCATTTCACATTCTTGGAATGCTGATGGTATATTGACACTGTTTTGCAGAGGTCATGAGTTCAAGGATTCAAAAACATTTGAAAATCAGAAATTACAAATCTCTGGAGAAAATTCTAATTTCCACAGTAACCTAATGAATCAAAGGAAGAATTTCTTTGAAGAGAATCCATGTCTTGGTTGTCTATCATAGGTTCTGATTAATTAAAATGCAACAATATGTCATTATTTTAAAGTAACTGCAGGTAAAAATAAGAAATATTTCCTTGTATCTTGAGCTAATTCTTTTTGTAAAATGTTGATATATGGAAAGAATGAGAGGAGAGAGAGAGAAAAGCAGTGAGAGCACCAACACACAGGACTATTTTATTTTGGGCTTGATTAATTAGGTAGTGTTGTATGACAATCGATAGCTTTAGTTCCCATCTTAGAATATTGAAATTGCAGGGCGCCTGGGTGGCTCAGTCGTTAAGCGTCTGCCTTCGGCTCAGGTCATGATCCCAGGGTCCTGGGATCGAGCCCCGCATCGGGCTCCCTGCTCCGC